ACGTGATACACCATATGAATAAATTGAAAGATCCTCCTCTCCACCTTTCAGGCACTTTTTAGTGTCTGTGGGGTCCTCTGCCTCAAGATAGTGGTCTTCCAAAAGGAAAAGAGACATGGAGGATTGCTTTCTTGTGTAGTATTAGGATGTCTGTTTCTTTGGGCCTGGCAGCAGCCAGAAGTTAGCTGAGCCCTTTGTTTCTAACCTTCGGGCCTTGGCTGGCTGCCCTAGACCACTAGTTGCACCACAGTTAGTTCCATTCGGCAAAAATAAATTGTAAACGTGTTGACATTTTTGTCCTCTTTACAATTCATTGTTTATTTTTCCATGACTGAGAATTTTGATGCAATTATCACTGAGCTTTCTGACAAAAGGGAAATAGCAGAGGAATTCTGATGAGTTAGTTACCCACTTCATTAATCAGAACAAGCATCTCTAGTGACAGGGTTAGAATTACAATGAAGATTAGATAGCAAATTGCTGTTCCACCTAACGTCAATCATTCCCAATGACAGTAGTGTGATTACATTTCAGGGAAGAGCTTTTCTTGCCAACAAAAGGAGGGCAACTCCAGTGCAGGTAATAAATTTAGCAGAGTGAGCTGTCATTTCTTCTCTTGAGTGGAATCCTTAATGACCAAATGATATTTTGTGGAAGATTTTGAAAGAAGAAAAGCATTTCACTTAAAAACTTCCTAAGTTTCACTTTGTAGTTGTTCAGTTGCTCAGTCATGTCCACCTCTTTGCAACCCCATGGACTGCAGCACGCCAGGTTTCCCTGTCCTTCACTATCTCCCGGAGTGTGCTCAAACTCATGTCCATTGAGTAAGTGATGCCATCCAACCATCTCATCCTCTATTGCCCACTTCTCCTCCTGCCCTGAGTCTTTTCCAGGATTAGGGTCTTTTCCAATGAGTCAACTTTTGGCATCATATGGCCAAAGTATTGGAGCTTCTGCTTCAGCACTAGCCCTTCCAATGAATATTCAGGGTTGACCTCCTTTAGGAGTGACTGTCTTGATTTCCTTGCTGACCATGGGACTCTCAAGAGTCTTCTCCAACACCACAGTTCAAAAGCATCAGTTCTTTGGCACTCAGCCTTCTTTATGGTCCAACTCTCACATCCATACATGACTACTGGAAAAACCATAGCTTTGACCAGATGGACCTTTGTGGCATTATTATTTCTTTGCTTTTTAATACACTGTCTAGATTTGCTTTTCTTCCAGGGAGCAAGTATCTGTTAATTTCATGGCTCAGTCACTGTCCACAGTGATTTTTGTGCCCAAGAAAATAAAATCTGTCATTGTTTCCACTTTTTCCCCATATATTTGCTATGAAGCAATGGGACCAGATACCATGATCTTAGTTTTTTGAATGTTGAGTTTTAAGCCAGCTTTTTCACTCTCCTCTTTCACCCTCATCAAGAGATTCTTTAGTTCTTCTTCACTTTCTGCCATTAGAGTGGTATTACCTGCATATCTGAAGTTGTTGATATTTCTTCCAGCAATCTTGATTCCTGCTTGTGATTCATCCAGCCCGGCATTTTGCATGATGTACTCTGCATATAAGTTAAATAAGCAGGGTGACAATATACAGCCTTGATGTACTCCTTTCCCAGTTTTGAACTCACTTTGTAGTATTTTATTTTAAACATTGGGCTTCCCTGGTAGCTCAGTCGGTAAAGAATCTGCCTGCAGTGCAGGTAGATATGTACTTAGGAGCAGTTCTTCCCACGGTGATTTTCAGCATTTTATTTACCTGTAACAAGTCTTAATTATCACCACAACTGTAAAAAAGAGATGTTAGAAGTTAGTAAAAGAGCAAATGACTTTATTTGAGAATCTATTAGAAATAAAAACATGGTGCAGAAATAAATGAGCTAGGTAAGAAACAGAGGGAGGTAAGACTAGTTGTCTACCTTGTTCTCATGCTTAAGCAGAATGTGTTCCTCTTCTAACTAACTTTGATTTTAAGTATTAGTTCTTGTTTCAAAGAGTAAAGGGATAGAGCCCTTCTGTAGTTCCAGAGTGGAGAACAGTAAAGGAGAAGCAGGCCTGAGCACTGTGGGGACTCTGCTTGGGGGAACATAATAGAAAGGGTAAATAGATGGTGACTGTCAGCTGTGTCACTTCTTGTCTGTTCTCAGTAAGAACAGAGTGCTAGCATCTTGTCCCAGAGCAAACAGAACCAAGACTTTTTTCCTCTCTCAAATATTTTCCTCCAAGCACATTGATGGGACTCCTGTTTGTCTAAATAATATTTACTGTGAATCAATAATAACTAAGTGACTTTTGATTCATACTTTTTTTTTTAATTTAAATGGGATTGCTGGATTGCTCTTTTGAGTAGGCAGGGATAAAAACCAATGACAAGGTGATTTCAAGAAAGCAGTTACTGTATGAGTATGTCACTTTGCTGCTATTAACTTCTGTGTAGTGAAACTGAATTATAGACCTTCAAAACTGATCATTTTGCTCTCAAAGTCTAAACTTAAGTATTTTTAAAGAAATATTAATATATTGACTGTGGTGTTTACAAACTCAAATTTTCCCCCTCTTAAATTCACATGTTTCCAGCAGTGCTTTTCTACTGAGGTAAGTGATGTATCAAATTCTTTCTCTTTCAGTAAAAAAAAAAAAAGCAAATAATTTGTTCTTCCTCTTTAAGAGAATTTTTGCCTGGTATATTAGGATCATCAGGATGCCTCAATGTTTTCATTTTAGCCTTGGGTATACCACAAACTCTTCACATTGTGAATTTAGCCATTATCCCTTTTCAGTTTGAAGTTTGGCTAGGTAAGGTAAATCATAATATCTGCAGTCTATTTTGTAATGATGGTCTATGAGTTAATAAAATAGTACATGTGAAATGCTTTGAATTTTATAGAGAGAAAGAATGTGGAAATCCAAGGACATTCTTAATAGTGCTATTATCATCAAGATGGATTATGTTTGTACTATTTCATCGTTAGAAATATTCCAGGAATCAAAATTAGTGATAGTTACCTATATATAGAATATTTCATCAAGTCTCTTAAGAAGAATCTCTTAAATGAATCTGGCAAATAGATATGATATTTTCTTTAGACTACAGTGCACAAGTTAACACTATTTTTTTCATGCTGTATTTTTTGGGATAGATAAGCAAACAATAATAAAAAGCCATACCCCCTCAACAGGCAGCTACGCATCTTTTCCTTGTTATGACTAAAACTGTATCTTATGTTCAGAGAATTTCCCTTCATTCATTCTGTCCTTCCTCCCTTTTCTCTTTCTTTCTCCATCCTTCCCACTTTTCTTTCCATGGGATCTGAGGTGAAAGTCTAGAAAATCTGTCCTCCTTTGACATAATGGAGAAGGAACAAGGACTTTTTTAAAGACTTTCGTGGTTTCTCCTAGTGGAAAATTATAAAAAAGAAGATTTTGTAGTTTGTCTAAATGAGAATATAATTGGTTTCTTTTGTGGAAAACATTTCAGGCCAAATGAGCTATTCTAGGAATTCCAGCCTATGCTCACCTATGTTACTGGTCGTTAAGTTATATACTCTCTCTCCTTATAACCTCACAAATGCAGAGATTATATCTTTAAAAAACTTGTTCAGAATCCCAAAATTCAAACACGGTTGGTGCTTACTAAATGTTGAAACAGTGAAGGATAAGTATTTTTAAAGAGAAAGAGGCAATAAACGGGGCCAACCCTGGTATGGCCACCAAGTTCTCAATGCTGGTCGCTAGGCATCTCTTGGACCTCCCAGAGTCACTTTCTATGCAGTTACTTTCTATGTAGTGCCCCCCACATGTGGTACGGGGGCTTCCCTGGGGGCTCAGACAGTAAAGAATTCACCTCCAATGCAGGAGACCTGGGTTTGATCCTTGAGTTGGGAAGATCCTCTGGAGAAGGGCATGGCTACCCACTCCAATATTCTTACCTGGAGAACTCCATGAACAGAGGAGCCTGGCGGGCTACAGTCCATGGCATCACAGAGTCAGACCTGACTGAGCAACTGAGCATGCACATGTGGTGTACTCTCAGATCTGCCAGGTCCTCCTCTGGAGGCTCACAGTCTTGTGAAGACTGGTATCAGGTGACTATAATATAGTATGAGGACTGCTTTGACTGAAGAAAGCATAGGTTGCCCTGGCAACCCAGGGGAAGAGTACTTACATGTGGGGAGAGTGATTGGTAATAGGAGGGCTTCCTGAGAGAGGTGACCCCTGAAGTCATCAGGCAAAGAGAGGGCATAAAAGGACAGAGAAATTAATATGACCATAAGTGGGAAAGTGTAAAAACAGTGTGGTTGGTATAAGGCCAAGAACTAAAAGTAATTTGATGGAGTGGGAGCATAAAATGTGAAAATAGAAGATGTAGGTCTTAGCCTGGGACCATAAGTACTCCTCTGGGGACATCCTTAGGGTCAGTAGACCTTGTCTGATTTGTTGTCAGATACATGTAGTGGAAGATTGCAAGCAGCCTGGGTATCTAGTTTCTCTTGGAGTGCTCACCAAAATCCCGACATGGTCAGTGGTAGCTCAGCTGAAGCCATTTTTAGCTGTCTTGTTCTGAGGCACCAGAAACTGCATTCCATGCTATGGGATCTCCTGTGTTCATTTGTGTAGGATATCAGTGGTGTTCCCGGTTGGCATTTAAGCCCCAAGACAGTGTGGCACAGGAGATCTGTTGGAAGCATACCTTTCAAGTCTCCCAAATAGGCCTCTTAACTTAGATCTTAGTTGTGACAGCTACTCCAGCTCTACATAGGACTGGTGCCTTACAATGAGAGTTAAATATTTTAGTAATAGCTTAAGTCATGAGGCTGATAGTGCCTTAGCTGCAAGACTTGAATGTTTCTCATCATTATTGGCATAAAGCAATTGTCTGTTCCCCTTCCATCAAGTTCCTAGATTTGTTAGAAAAAGTGTGAGGGGGAAATCTGAGGAAAGGCTTCCCATCAGTAGATATTAGAAACCCTAGCACTGATTTTCCAGTGTTTCCATTGCAGTGTCAAAAACGGTATTTCTCTGCCTGGCACGAGCTGATTCTTGATCATAGGATTAAGCTGGGGAAAGCTGGAACCCTGTCCGACTGGAAGTTGCAACTGAAGTTCCTGCGGGCCTGGAGAGACTACACGAGATCTCAGAAGTTGGGGCGGGAGACTCAAGCCATAGAAAATTACCTTAGAGAAGAAAACAGGTACTATTATTTGTATTAATACCATGAATTATATGCCATGAAAATGTATATGCAGGACATATATCTATGTTTCTATGTTTGTGTAAGACATCTTTTCTCCTGAAGAACCCAAAAATAAGCTCTAAAAATGCTGTTCACTGTAATCATCTCATTTACATTTAAAATATATCACTGTTTTTCTCTGTTACATCCCAAACTGGGAAATTTTAACTGAACATTATAAGCAAAAAAATTTGGATTAAAATATACAAATGTACATGCTTTTCTTTTTTTAAAGGAAGCTAGTATTATGCTTTTTCCCTTGTCCTTTGACATAGTAGCATTGTACCCTGGACCATCTTACAATTTAGGAGACAGATTTTAGCTTATGTGCTAGTAATTTTCATTGATAGAAATCACTGTCCTCACATAGAATGTTAATTACAGACATAGGGAACGAATATCCACTTGGGAGGGCAAACGTGCAAGAATGATTTCTCCCACTTCCCCACACCTTATTTAGAGGTTTTTGACACCTTTATATCAGTTCCCTCTTAGACTTGTGAATGACACCGAATTTGTCCTTAAAGAAAACTTTCTTTTGCTCTATCAACTTTAAATATATTTTCTTCTTTTGATTTCCAAGCTCAACTTTGCATTCTTAAACCAAAATCATAGATGTGGAAAGAACCATTTGTTTATTGGTGAGGAAAGCTGGAGGGAGCCATTCATAGTCTTAGGTTTAATCACTTCTCAATCAGTGATTCTGTTGTTCATTCTGGGTGGAAAATTGAATGAATGGTATGTGAAAGCATCATCATGTATTGATAGAAGGGAGTATCATTGCTGGAGTTGTGCATCCCCATGACAGCATCAGGCCTTGGGGTGGGTATGTAGGAGCCTGACACATGACCCCTTGTCCTCTAAGAACTCAGTTTTGTGGGGAAGATGAAATCTAGAAATAATACAGGTGTGGACTAGCATTATATACTTTGTAATGTATCTCCTTTGGCTGTTGAGAACCTACCAGAGGGAAGTAATTGAGGAGGCTCCTACAGAATATCAGGAAGGGCTTTATCAAGAAGATGGGTCTTAAGTTGGATTGTGCATGCAGTTAGTGGGATGTTCCTAGGTAGAAGTAGGGATTGAGATGATGGCATGAAATGTGGCTGGAAATCATCGAGTATGTGGTTGTCAAGTTCATCAACCTGTGAAAGGCCTTAAATGGTAAGTCAAGGAGTTTAGGCATTCTTTGGTAAATAAAGGTGAATTCCTGAAGGTTTTTAAGCAGGATGGTGACTTAGACAATTTTCCTTTCCTACAGTATGCTGAGGGAATATCTTCAGTATGGGGGAGGAGCATTTTACAATTAACTTCTAAATTTTGAGGACCCAGTGATTGACCAAAGAATTGGGTGGATTTGTTGGATAAAAAAGGGAAGGAAATTAGAGGTGTTGCAAAGGGGAAACATCCTGAGTGAGGGCCTAACAGGAGTGGAAACTAAGATGTTAAAGTTCAGAGTGGTCTATGAAATTTACATGCCAGAAGAAACCTCTAGAAGACAAATCTGAAGAACTTGAGATTCCATTCCAATTAAGCTATTTAAATATTAAAGCACTAAATGGACATTTCATAATAGCATTATGTGCCAATTTTTTTTATAGATCTTAGAACTCCTTGTCTCATATCTGTGAATTATTTTCAAGTGTCTATTTTTATTTTTATTTTTTTTTCAAGTGTCTATTTTTAAATGCTCAAAACGGATACTACATTTTTTTTAACTGTCAGAGTTAGAAAATATTTAACTTATAATATATATATATATATTTTTTTTTTTTTTTACTATAAACTTTTAGAGCAAGAAACTCTTAGAGTAGGAAGATACTTCAAGGAGTATCTGATCTAGCCCCTCATTTTACAGATTACAAAAGTAAGGCACAGAAAGGATGAACAACTGTCAAGGTCATAAAGCTTCAAGTAGCCCATCCAAGACTAGAGCCTGGTCCTTTGATGCTGAGTCAGATGCTTTTTCCTATACTATGCTGCTTCTACCTAAAGAAAATCTAGGTGATGGCTCCCTCAGTCATGTTTTTCAGGTATATTGCCGTTGACTCTAGATGGTTGTAGATGTGAAACAAGAGCAGTAATTAACAAATAACAAGTCAAGCTAGAAACACAGAAAAGGAGCCACACTGTCCTTCATGTTGCTTTCCTACAAATCCCTGGCTCTCTGCATGTTGTTCTTCATTCTAGAGATTGTTCTGGGAAATTTTTGGGTGATTTTGTGCAAAGAAGGTTGGGATATTAGAGGTGAAGAAAAAAGCTCAAAGGTAACTACTACAAGCAGAAACCAAGACGTGTCAGTGGGACTGAGGGTGTCAGGAGAGCCAGGATCCCCTTTGCCGTGCTCATCAGAGCTTCTCCCAGTTTCTCTGTGAACACTAAACACATAATTGATGAATAATAGGTGAGTCAATGGATGAATGAAGAACTTGGTTGCTTCCTCTTTTGTAATTTAACTCCACACATTTTCAAGCATTTTTTTCCTAAATAGTGAGATCAAAGGATAGAGCTCATTTATTGTACATGGGTTACTCATTATAGAAATTAAACTCTTACCAGATTGACAGGACATCGTTGGTTCTTCAGCCCATTCACCTGGACATGAAAATCATGTGTTGTATCTGTTTCTCAGATGTCAACTGTGTCCTTAGGCTCCAGCTCTTGAATCCACATTTGTTTTTGCCACTTAGGCTTTCCTCTTACTGGCCTGTCCCCCTTGCTGGGCCCAGCATTTGGGGCTTCTTTCTCTGCCTTCTTTCCTTCCTGTTCTTCCCACTTTCTCTCTGGAGCAACAACAAATCCGTCTCTTCTCATTCCTGATTTAGCCACCTTCTTTTCTTACTGAGCCTGTGCTCAGAGTCTCACTCATCCATGTATTTCTCCTGAAAGATACACCTTTTTCTAAAGGTTTATTTTCTGAATTTTCTTAGAAATTCCCTAATAGGAATTTTTGTCTATCTTTTTTCTTTTAAAAGTAGTTTTGGTGTATATAGAATGTCAGTACAATATTGTAATACAATTGGAACATTGACAGATATTCCCAAACTCTTAACTAGCGATTTAGTCACTCAGGTAATACAACGAAATGGTGGCACACAATGCTAAGTTAGACCCTTGGCCGTGATGGTATTGGACTTAATTTCTTTAGTATATTCACTTTTGAAAGTTGGCTCCAGATCTTCTATTCCTCCTCTCCACCATATTCCTTCCATTTACAGCCAGCCCAGACACACGGAAGAAGCAGGGCTTGTTTTCAACATCTTCTCCCCACCCTTCCTGAGCCTACTTTCCTGACTCCTCAGTTCTTTCCTGGGAAGCATCTCTGTCCTTCCCTTACTAATCTCCACAGTATCTTCAACCCTGCCTTCTCTTGAACAAGTGCTTTGGGCCTTTCCTGGACCAGGCTTTCACCTCTTCCCTGTGTCCCTCTAGCCCCTCTTACTCTGTCTCTGTACTCCTCAATTTGATGTTATCCCTCCTAGTAATCTTACACTTTAATAGGCAGTGTCTGGAAACAGTGCCCAAAATGTCAGTGATGGGGATTGAGGAGTACAGTGGCAGGCCCTTTGTCGTCCTTCAAACCATGACATTTATTCATTCACTCATTGATTTGTTCTGTCTGCTAGCATGTATTCATTCACTTGGTCAGCTTTACTGATGCTTACTGTATACTAGACTTTTTCTTAAGTAGAGGAACTAAAAAGAGCATTGAACATTCTTGCCTTTTAGGAGTTTTCAATCTAAGTGGGGAAGTTAAAAATTTACCCAAATGCTAAAAATAATTGCAACAGAAGGCACAATAAGATAAAAAAACTTAGGAGTGACATAGACTTGGCTATCATCCATTACAATCCCCCAGGCAGCTTTTTAAAAATAAGAACTCTTGGGTCCCATCTATTGAGAGAGATCATGACTAAGTAGAAGAGAGCATTTTTCAGTTTAGGGGAAAACTGGTAAGCCAGTACATGCTCAACTTGTGTGGGAACAGGCTGGGGTGAACCCGCCAGGCTAGCTAGGGGTGGGGAGGCAGAACTGACAAGAGACTATCAGGTATTCCCCATTTCTGACACTCCTGATTTCAGCATGGTATAGGGCAATCTGGAGAAGGAAATGGCAACCCACTCCAGTATTCTTGCCTGGAGAATCCCAGGGATGGGGGAGCCTGGTGGGCTTCCATCTATGGGGTTGCACAGAGACATGACTGAAGCGACTTAGCAGCAGCAGCAGCATAGGGCAGTCATTTATGAAGCATCTCTGTTAATCATGGCCCATTGCCCTTCCCTCCATGCTCATCTCAGTATCCATTTGAGAGACTAGAAATTGTGTAGCATCCGAAGCTGGTCAAGTTCCTAGTATGTCTGCCAGAGAGGCAGGAGGACCAGCCAGACTTGCCCTGGCTGGCTCACTTTAAATCTCTTTAAAGCAGAACTGTGTTATCTTCCATGTTTTCCCTGGAGGGGGCTACCTGATGCATTTCGGAATGCATTAGCTCATGTATTCCTATTCCTGCTGAACCCGCTCATCCCAAATGTAGCTGTTTGCATCATTTCTATTTTTGTGTTCTGCATCAGATTTCAGCACTCTTTATCAGATCACTAGCATATGGTTATTTATTTATCATCTCTTACTTTTAAAAAATCAAGACACTCACTTTTTAGATATCTAATAGTCTTGTCCTTAGATAGTGCTATTACCTTACACATGCATTTGTTCTATATTTTCAGGTTCTTTTTAAAATTTAATTATATCTTTAGAAACAGACTCCTGTGCAATGGGCAGTATAGGGCTTGCTGTTGTTAGAGTGATACCAGTTTTGAAGAGGAATCTGAGACACTTTCAGTTGCAACTTTCAGTTGCTTGCCCAGGGTCCCCTATCTAGTTAGTGTTCTTCTGACTACTGTGTTTTAGATCAACAGCTATGTAACATTTGAGGTGTTGATTCTGAGCAGCCTGGTTCATATTTAAATTTCTATTTGGACCTATTACATTTTATATACTTAGTTCTTTAGAGACAGCCTTTCTTTGCATTTGTTATATAATTATAATGATCAATTTATATACTCTTGTCAGAAATTCCCTGATTTCACCTTGGAAACATATTGGGACAGGATCCATAAAGGACTTCTTCATTTTATGTGTATTTGGGAACTGTGGAACCATTTCTTTGGGTTAGCATGCCCAAGTAAATCACATCTGACTGAGCTTTTAAGAAATTTAAGTGATTTTTCAGTTTCAGAAATATTTATGCCTTTAGTATCATCATTTTAAAAGTATAAAAATGGACTTCAGCAGAAGTGTCACTCTGCTGAAGGAAACCACAAGGGAGCAAAAGCAGAACCAGCCTTGTCTCTGGACCCCTAGCTTCTGTGCTCCTACCATTCCTACAAACCCAAGTACATCCTCAAATCCCTGCATTATCACTATAGGGAAAACTCTAAACACTGTAATAAACATGCATTTTCAACCCCCTTTTTTTTTTAACTCTTTAGTCTTTTGTTATATTTCCAGAAGTATTTTTCTCTTTGCCTTTTCATACTATCCAAATGACCCCTCTCCTTGACAGTCAAGAGTCCAGTGCAGCTTTTAGCTGTTTATGCTATAAAAACATGAAATTAACATATCAGGTAAACTTCACACTTCTCCTTCGTGCCCAAATTGATGTAAATCAAATTTTACATTAATTAGACAGAGCACATACGTCTTCTAGCCTGTGGAAATTTATGATTTCCACTCACTTGAGTAAAATGCCATAGGGTGTTTTGTTTGTTTTATTATTTAGACATTGAAATTTTTTGAGCTTTGTTCTTACCTGCATTGCTACCCAATTTGTTAGTCTTATTTTTTTTTTTTAATTTTTATTTCAAGGTCATTCAGTCTCAGATCCTTTCTTTTTTTCTATCAAAGTAAAATATTATATATAAATGTTTATTACCATATTGTATTTTTACTATAAAAACCATCAGTCAATCACCAAGTATTTTTATCTATCATTGCATTAGAAAGAAACAATTATATATAATGAAATATGCTGTTGGCAGAATTGCTGTTAGCATTTATCCTAAATTCTATTATTTCAATCAACACTACTCTCACTAATTGGTTATTTCATCCAACTCCTCTGACATATGTTAAATTCTGTGACTCTCAAGTAGTCTTTCAAACTAAGGGTTTTAACTCATTAATGGTTCCTAAAATCCACTTCTAGACAAGTTATGTTTTTTAAAAAATAGAATAGATTAGAAAAGAAACATTAGAGTATCTCTGGTAGTAAGGGTAAATATCCTTTGAGGAAACTTTTGTTTCAATTATATATACTTTGTTTCATACACACATAAGCTTATATTGAAATCATGGTGTAACACATTTTTCTTAGTGTAGGTGTCAATCACAAAAGGTTTAAAAGTCACTTTAAGCATTTAAGAACTGTAGAAATGTTCTTCTGACTCATTTGCTTAAAACATTAAGACTTTTTTTATGACCCCAAAAAGTCCATGAGGAGGGTTAAGTGTTATATATGTTTAACAGAAGTGGATATGCAAATAGTGTTGTAGAGAACTTATTCAAGTCAACTTTACAAGGTAAAATTAAGTAGGTATCTAAACAATATTAGATTTTAAATCTCAAAATGGACCCTGGTTGTGACATAAGTTCCAAGCTCTATAGCTCCCTTCTTCGGAGACAATAATCATCCACTTATAGACTGATCTCAGAGACCTCTATGCTTGAATTGTCATCTGACTATCACCAAAATGTCTCCAAATTGAGAGCCCCTTTGGAGGGAAATGTAGCTGGCAGTTCCCAACTCCACTCAGTCATGTCCCCTAACATCATGAAGTTTTCAGAAATCAAAAGGAGCTAGCTCTTCCTTAGGAAGAGAGTGAACCAGACCCTCTACTAGACTGTGAGTGAGCTCGGTGGGAGCAAGTGCCTTGTGTATTCCCTTCACATACTTCTAGTGTTAACAAGTGTCTGCACAAGGGAGTCCTTCATTCATGCAGTTTATGGCTTTGGTAAACGAGTCCTTCTCTTCAGAGATCCTTTCCCTGACCAAGTCCTTCCCCAAGGTCCACCCTTATAAGTTCATGTTGATTTTTATGTCTTATACTTAACTAAATATTGACAATTCACTTGTTAAGTTTCATCCCTTTCTCTTTCTCCCAAACCTGTCTTCCTTAGATTTGCAAGTATAGTTGAATATCTCCCTCATGCATTCATATTTTTTTAAAGTAGTTACCTGAATACCTATTCTTTCTGCTCCTTCCCCTCCAGAAGCTCTCAGAAACTATGTTATGGTAATAAAAAAATTTAGTAAGTCTTTGTGGTGTGACAGAAGGGAACAGTCCCTCTTTCTTCTGAGGCAGTGCCTTGAGGTGCCAGTGCCTTCTTTGAGCACAACCTTTGCACTGGGGAATTTTATAAAATGACTCCTTTGAGCTTATATAAAAGAACAAACTGGAGCTATGATGTAGCATTTCTAGAACTCCTTTGGACTTGTATTTTATTTATATGATCAACTAAAAAGCAGTAAATGGCTTCTTTTTTAATGGAAGTGCTTTGTTGCTTAGAAAACAACAACTGGCCGCTGAGTATAACCGGAAACAAGTTCTCCAACACCATTTTACAGAATGGCAGCGTTGGCATCGTATAGAGATCCTAAAGAGAGAACTGGCCATAACAAAGGAGGAAACCAGGAAGAAAATGAATGAGCTGCTGGAGGCAGCATCACTAGGGAAACTCAGTGCAAACATGTCATCAAGCATCAGTCTGCTTGAGGAGGCAACAGCTATGGAGGATCCACCTAGAAATGGAGAGGTAAGATATTTTTCCTTTGCTTAGTCTTCCTGCTTATTACATACTGGGATTTAGCTTTGTCTTTGTATAGCCTGGACTATTCAGTTGGTAAGGAGTCCACCTGCATTGCAGGAGACCCTAGTTCAATTCCTAGGTCAGGAAGTTCCCCTGGAGAAGGGATAGGCTACCCACTCCAGGATTCTTGGGCTTTCCTGGTAGCTCAGTGATAAAGTCTCTGCCTGTAGTGTGGGAGACTAGGTTCGATCCCTGGGTTGGTAAGATCCCCTGGAGGAGGGCATGGCAACTCACTCCTGTATTTTTGCCTGGAGAATCCCTATGGACAGAGGAGCCTGGCGGGCTACAGTCCATGGGGTTGCAAACAGTTGGACACGACTGAGCGACTAAACACAGCACAGCACAGCCTGGACTATGTTTGCTGTTGTCAGATTTCCTGGCCTGGGCCATCTAAAAGATGAGAGCTGCTGCAGTGCACAAAAGTTGCCTTTCAGTCAGTGTTGACTTTCTTGAAATGAGTCTTCTTTTATAATCACGTATAAACTTTGGAATAGTTGAAATTTGGTAGAGATGTAATATAGACAGGGAATTTAAAACAACTAAGAGAAAGATTCCATCCAAGAACAGATGTATAAAGCATTGTTTAGAATTATTGAACCTCTTATTTGATTGTCAGACATTTCTTTTGTAAATGAGCTTGTGATTTATAAGAGGGGAATGTTTAGCTTTAATTTTCCTAATAAGAATTCATATGTATTAATTGTAGCAATTGGCAGGAGAAAACGACAAAAAGGAAAAAGAAATGAATGTGTATACAAAACAGAAACGGATTCACAGAGGAAAGGTAAAAAATAGGAAAAAGAAAAAAATAGGCACTAATTCCATCATTTAGAGATAACCACTTGCCAGGTGGCGCTAGTGGTAAAAAACCTGCCTGCCATTGTGTGAGATGCAGGAGACACAGGTTTGATCCCTGGGTCAGGAAGATCCCCTGGAGGAGGAATTGGCAACCCACTCCAATATTCTTGCCTGAAAAATTCCGTGGACAGAGGAGTCTGGCAGGCTACAATCCATGGGGTCATAAAGAATCAGACATGACTAAGAACGCAACACACCAATAACATGTTGAAGTATATAGCCTGGTCTTTTCTCTATTCAAGAATATGCAGATTTTCCTCTTTAATGCTATTTAGCTTTTAAATTTTTTTCAGTCAAGTCATTGAGGATATCTAATTTGCCATAATACAGGAAAAGGAAGGCCTAGTTGATGTACAGTATTTTATTAGTGTCAGGTATATAACACAAGATTCAGTTATATGTACATATTTTTCAGATTATTTTCCATTATAGGTTACTGTAAGATAATTGCATATAGTTCCTTGTGCCCTTGTTGATATCTCTTTTATACATAGTAGTTTGTATTTGTTAATCCCCTACTGCTAATTTATCTCTTCCCTTCCCCTTTCCTCTTTGGTAACCATAAGTTTGTTTTCTTTGTCTATGAATCTGTTTCTGTTTTGTGTATACATTTGTATTGTTTTTTAGACTCTATACATAAATGATATCACATAATATTTGTCTTTCTCTGTCTGACTTCAGTTAGTATGATATTATCTAGGTCCATGTTGCTGCAAATTGCAATATTTCATTCTTATTTATGGCTGAGTAATCTTCTGCTGGTCCTATCTCCTCATGGGAAATAGATGGGGAGACAGTGGAAACAGTGTCAGACTTTATTTTTGGGGGCTCAAAAATCACTGCAGATGGTGATTGCAGCCATGAAATTAAAAGTCACTTACTCCTTGGAAGGAAAGTTATGACCAACCTAGATAGCATATTAAAAAGCAGAGACATTACTTTGCCAACAAAGGTCTGTCTGGTCAAGGCTATGGTTTTTCCGGTGGTCATGTATGGATGTGACAGTTGGACTGTGAAGAAAGCTGAGTGCCAAAAAATTGATGCTTTTGAACTGTGGTGTTGGAGAAGACTCTTGAGAGTCCCTTGGACTGCAAGGAGATCCAACCAATCCATCCTGAAGGAGATAAGTCCTGGGTGTTCATTGGAAGGAATGAAGGTGAAGCTGAAACTCCAATACTTTGGCCACCTCATGCGAAGAGTTGACTCATTGGAAAAGACCCTGATGCTTGGAGGGATTGGGGGCAGGCGGAGAAGGGGACGACAGAGGATGAGATAGCTGGATGGCATCACCAACTCGATGGGCATGAGTTTGAGTAAACTCCGGGTGTTTGTGATGGACAGGGAGGCCTGGCGAGCTGCAATTCATGGGGTCGCAAAGAGTCGGACACGACTGAGTGAGTAAACTGAACTGAACTGAACTGAATCTTCTGCTGTATTTATATACATCACATCCTCTTAAACCAATTGTCTGTTGATGGGCACTTGAGTTGTTTCCACGTCTTGGTGATTGTAAATAGCATTGCTATGTTAATTTTTTAAGGAAACTCTGTACTGTTTTCTACAGTGGATGCACCAGTTTACATTCCCACCAATAGTGTATGAGGATTCCCTTTTCTTCACACTCTTCAGCATTTATTATTTTGTGGATTTTTTGATGATGGCCACTTTGACCAGTATGAGGTGATACCTCATTGTGGCTTTGATTTGCATTTCTCTGATAATTAGTGATGTTGAACATCTTTCATGTGCCTGTTGGTCGTCTGTATGTCGTCTTTGGAAAAATGTCTGTTTAGGTCTTTTGCCAACTTTTTATTGGGTTGTTTGCTTTTTTGATATTGAGGTATATGCACTGTTGTATATTTTGGATATTAACCCCTTGTCAGTTGCATTGTTTGCAAATATTTTCTTCCATTTAGTAGATTGTCTTTTTGTTTTGTTGATGTTTTCTTTTGCTGTGTAAAAAGCTTTTTAGCTTGAGTAGGATCAATTTTGCTTTTATTTCTTTTGTTTTGGGAGCCCGATCTAAGATAATGCAGCTATGATTTATGTCCAATTTGCCTATGTTCTCATCTGGAGTTTTATGATGTCATGTCTTTATGTCTTTAAACCATTTTGAGTTTATTTTTATATGTGGTGTGAAGAAATATTCTAATTTCACTGACTTACATGAGACTGTCCAGCTTTCCCAATACCACTTGCTGAAGAGACTTTTCTCCTTTGTATACTCTTACCTCCTTGGTTAGAGATTAATCTGCTCTAGGTGTGTAAGTTTATTTCTGAGCTCTATATTCTGTTGCATTTTCCTGTATGTCTGTTTTTGTGCTGGTACCATGCTGTTTTGATTACTGTAGCTTTGTAGTGTAGTCTGAAGTCTGGAAGGGCTGTGCCTTCAACTTGATCCTTTTTCCTCAAGACTGCTTTGGCAATTCTGGTTCTTTCATGATTCCATATAAATTTTAGGGTTATTTGTTATAGTTCTGTGGAAAATGTCATGAATATTTTGATAGGGATTGCATTTAATCTGTAGATTGCTTTGGGTAGCATGGCCATTTTAATAATATTAATTCTTCCAATTCCAGAGCATGGGATATCTTCCTGTTTTTTTGAATCATCTTCAGTTTCTTTTATCAGTATTTTGTAGTTTCAGCATATAGTTTTCAGGCCTTTCACTTCCTTTGTTAAGCTTATTTCTTGGTCTCTTTTTTATGCAGTTTTATTTATTTATTCATGTGTTACTGAAGTATAATTGATTTTCAGTATTGTGCCAACATGATGCAGTTTTAAATGGAATTTTTTTTGCTTTCTCTTTCTGATATTTCATTGTTAGTATAAAGAAATGCAGCAGACTTAAATATATTAATCTTATATCTTGCCACTTTACTGAATTCCTTGGTTTGTGTGTGTGTGTGTGTGTGTTTTACTGCACTGCACAGTAGGGATGTGTGCATCCCTTGACCAAAGATGGAACCTGTGCCCTGTGTAGTGGAAGTGTGGAGTCCTAACCACTGGACAACCAGGGAAGTTACCTTACTGGGTTCATTTATTAGTTCTAATAGTTTGTATACAAAGTCTTTATGGTTTTCTGAATAGACAATCATGTCTTCTGCAAACAGTGACAGTTTTACCTCTTCTCTTCCAATTTGAATACCTTTTATTTCTCTTTCTTGTTGATTGCTGTGGCTTTCCAATATTATGTTGAATAGCAATGGTGAGAGTGGGCATCCCTGTCTTATTCCTGAATTTAGTGGGGAGGCTCTCTACTTTACACAATTGAGTATTATCTTGGCTGTGGCTTATCATAAATGAATTTTATTATGTTGAGATATGTTCTTCTATACCCACTTTGGTGAGAATATACTTTTCTATTTATAATAATGTGATCTGTTTTTCTAAAATTATTTTCCACAATGTAATGAGAGTTTTCTGTGTCACCAAATCTACTTCTTCAACAGTAGTTTCCAACTGAGAGTATAACACAGACTCAGACCTAAAAAATCAGAATTTCTGGGTGTGGGGCACCATGGTTTTTTTTTTAAGTTCCATGGGTGAACCTGATGAATAAGCCCTGGTTAAGGACTGTCATTCTGTGCCATTGTGTTTAATGACTGCATGAAACTCTATCATGAACCACAGACTAGACTCTTCTCTGTTGCTAGGCATTTAACTTGTTTCTAGTTTACCATTTTTATAAACAAAGCCTTCGTGAACAAGTAGCTAAGTCTTCGTGAACAAGTAGCTAAGTCTTTGCACACATCCATAAGACTTCACTTTGGATAAATACCTAAAAATAGAATGCACATTTTAAAGACTTTTACCAAATGGCCCTTCCAGGAAGGTTGTTTCAAAGAAGTACCTGTTTTCCTGTTTGATACCATATTTTTTATTTTTGCCAAGTTGACAGGTAAAATATTTTTCATGTTGCTGTTGCTTCAACATTTTCATTTTTTATTACTAGTGAGGTTAAGCATTTTTTATATTGACCATTTATATATATGTATCTGATAATGAGTATGCTGCTGCTGCTAAGTCGCTTCAGTTGTGTCTGACTCTGTGCAACCCAATAGACGGCAGCCCACCAGGCTCCGCCCGCCCTGGGATTCTCCAGGCAAGAACACTGGAGTGGGTTGCCATTTCCTTCTCCAATGTATGAAAGTGAAAAGTGAAAAGGAAGTCGCTCAGTCTTGTCCGACTCTTAGTGACCCCATGGACTGCAGCCTACCAGGCTCCTCTGTCCATGGGATTTTCTAGGCCATAGCACTGGAGTGGGGTGCCATTGCCTTCTCCAGAAAATGAGTATAGAAAAGTTAATAGTGATTTGTCTCATCATAGATTTTGTCCATTTTTGTCCTTGATTATGTATCTTTTTGTTATTTATAGGAACTCTATGTTTTTAAGACTACTGATGCTTTTATTATCATTTATTTTGCAATTTTTTTCATTTTGTTTTTTGTCTTGATTTATTTGTGGAGTTTGGTACTGTATACAGTTAAATTTCATTTTACTTTTTAATTTGTCATATTTGAATATTTTTTCTGATTGTACATTTATTTTAAATTCTGTGTTCTAAGTATATAATAATCTGTCGGGTAACCTGTTGAACTCATTTTTTTTAATTTTTATTTTATATTGGAGTATCATTGATTAACAATATTGTGTTATTTTCAGGTGTACAGCAAAGTGATTAAGCTATCCATATACATGTATCTATTCTTTCTCAAATTCTTTTCCCATTAGGTTTTACAAGATATTGAGCCAAGTTCCATGTTCTATACAGTAGGTCCTTGTTGGTTGTCTATTTAAATATAGCAGTGTGTATTTGTTAATCTCAAACTCTCAATATATCCCTCCCTCAACCCTTCCTCCCTGATGAACCATAAGTTCATCCTCTAAGTTTTTATAAAGTCAATCCTATCAGTTTTTTCTTTCTTAATTGCATTTGGATGTTTGAAAAGACTTTCGGAAAAGGACCTCTGCCCCCTCACCCAGCCTGGCCCCTGCACCCTTCTAAACAATGCTGTTGAGTACTAAAGTCAAACGTGTGAAGTTAAATTGAGCACTGCATGATCCCCAGTCTTGCTTTTTATTGTGATTACTGCCAGCAAGTAGGCAGGTTTTAACTTAAGCTTAGTCTCTCTCTGCAGAGGAGGGTCATGAGGGTGCTTTTTTGGGTTTATGTAACATTTTGGTCCCTTCCCCTAGGCAGCTTAGCTTTGATATTAGTTAGATAATCTTGTTTCCATTGAGACCCAAGAGAATCTTCTATGTAAATAGCTATGTGAAGCCTTTTACGTCACAAAGTTCCACTGTTATCTTCAAATGGAAGAAGTCAGCAGAAAGTCCTTTGTTACCTGCAGAAAAATTGCTACATGTGTATATAATTTAGACTCAAGAAAAAAGTCTTCAGATCCCTGAAATCAAGATAAAAGATTTTATCAAGAAAAGATAAAGTTGTAAAAAGTAGAACAAATGAAAATAAAAGGCTGTAATATACTCTATAGATTACTAGATAAATTCTGATCTTGCCCAGAGTATACAGTGTAACATGAACAAATGAATATATAAAATCTATACTTAGATGCTCAGTAATTATACCGTCAGAGGGACATATGTACTATGAACACATATCTTATACCTTGAAATTTTTTGAAATTATCAGTTAGCTAATAGAGGAGATTTTCTCTAATTGGGCTCAATTAGAGAAACAGAACAGTCCTGTTCTGTTAAGTACAATCTGTACCATTAAGATTTTCTTTCATTCTCTTATTTTCACCTTAAAAGTTACCATGATCCAAAAGAAATCTTGTTGCTGTACTCAAGGCTTTTATAGTCTTGCTGGGTTAATAATTCATCATTACCACAAAGTTTAAAAGGACCTAAAACACATACCCTGCTTGACACTAAATTGCTTAAGCAGGTGTTCTCATGAATAAATGTCCACTGACATTTCTGAAATAGAAGGCTATTTTTAAAGTATTTTAACATTTCAGAGTTTCCATATATTACATCTTTCACTTTCTCTGAGTCTATGGAAAATATTTCCATCATCATGAAAATTATCTATGAGTTCCCAAGTATGGCACCCTGATGGAGCTAGAAGCTTCTATGATACAAGATAGTTTATAGTATTTTTCTCCTAACACCACTGTGGATGACAGAATCAAAATCTGATCAGACCTTAGACCATGGAATCAAACTACTCTAGAAGAAACATTTTAACTGTGACATTATTTTAACCAGCATAACTTTTTCTGATTAATGAGTCTGTTTCTTTCCCATCTGTATAGAATTTGTAATTGAGTACAACACCTTAATCTGTTAAATGAGATTTATGTGATAGAGCCTTAAAAACTATTAAGCCATATGCCAATACAAAATTTTAGGTAGCATTAGTCTTATATAATGTAAGTATTTACCCAGTGGGCTTGCAAACACTTCCCACAAATAAATTCTTTGGAATAGATGGAGACAGTATGGTTTAATCCAGGCCTTGATCCTGAAATAGATAAATACCCTGTGATTAATTTATTAGTGGCAAGAGAGACTTTGGAAGAACTGTCATTAAAGAGCTGTTATTACTAAAGAGCTGTTATTATTAAAGAGCTATTATTGATTTGTAAAGTTTTTCTTTAGTTGTCAAACATTCTTGAGAAAGAATATGTACTTTGCCATAATATTTTCAATTTCTTGTAAAGTGAAAGTGTTAGTTGCTCAGTTGGGTCTGATTATTTGCAACTCCATGGACTACAGCCCACCAGGCTCCTCTGTCCATGGAATTCTCCAGGCAAGAATACTGAAGTGGGTAGCTATTCCCTTCTCCAGGGGATCTTCCCAACCCAGGAATCGAACCTGGATCTCCTGCATTGCAGGCAGATTCTTTACCATCTGAGCCACCAGGGAAGCCCATTTCCTGCAAAATTCAGGGTCAATTCATGCAGATTAAATTCCTGGGATGTATTTCTGGAGTAATCATGCCCAATTTCTAAATGAACTATCCAAATTAGATATTTCTAAGAGCATATTTTTCTGATCACAAATATCCTGGCCATGGCAATAGTTTCTGTGATTGTACCCACTGTCCCACCAGGTTCTGTGATGAGCAACAGTACACATTCTACGAGTGACTCACAAGGCTAAGACTGGCAGCCTCTGAGATAGCCGGGTAGAAGCCCATAGCAGCCATGACTGGGGTGAGGGCAGTTGTGCCATTGAACAGAGCAGCGCTGACTCGGGGGAGATAGAGCTCATCAGCACAGTCCTTTAAATGGATGAGATACAACATATTCCTTATCTCTCAGGTGGCTGCTGTCCCTGCTTTGTGGGAAAAGCCTCCCTCGGGGAGTAGTGGTTGTCTGCCCAGCTACTACCTAGGAAGACCAACAAAGAGCATCTCGCAGGTTCCCCTCCAAAAGGCCCCTCCAGATACGTCTGACAGTAAGCCACACAAAGGCCCAGGTGATGAGCCCTCCCAACAGCCTGGTAACAAAAAGAAGTTCAAAACCAGCAGCCGGAAAGCAGAACCTGTTTGCATGAGTCATTTCTGCAACCGCCATATCTTCCAGCAGCAGCTGATTGAAAAGCAGAAGAAGAAACTTCAGAAACAGCAGAAAACAATTCTGGAGCTGAAGGAAAACCAGTGGCTGGCAGAGGCTCAGCGGGCAGCAGGGCTTACACACCCACAGAGCTGCCAGCTGTCAAACCCGGGAGAAGATGAATGGGAAGGAATCTGTCAGGTGCTTCCAAAGTATGTTCATTGTATTGGAACACTCTCTGGAGTCTTTGTTTGTTGTTTTTTTTTACTTTGTAGTCAGAAGGCTCCTGAATTTTACCCAGCATCCAGACTCCATAATTGCTTATTGTGCATGTGCAAAGCAGAGAGGCCCCATACATTGTGATTGGTATGTGAGAGGTACCAAAAGGTATTTAAGGCAAGTGGCTGCCTAAAAGGATCCAGTTGTTTACAGTATTGTATACAGTATTGTATACAGTTGTATACTGTATTGTAGCTGCCTTTGTCTGAGGAGCTCTGTCACTCTACCAGTAAAAGAGGAAAATGCTTACTTGCTCTAACTCGATTTCTGGATTCCTGATTATGTTTAGGGCTGAGAAGCCAGGTCAGACAATATCAGGTCTAAATGGAGCAGCCCTTAGGGATGGCTATTTACCTAGCTTAAGTCTGTAGTTGTTAGAGATAAACATCTTTGAACCTAGAATAATAGTCCAAATTTCTCAAAAGCTCTTTAAAATGGGTTTAGACATGCTTGTGACATACTCAGTATATGTGATAAATGGTAGGGTAAGAAGTGGGCAGTATGTATTGATCTGAAGCACTGGGTTGGGAGTCAGAGCACCTGACTCACATCATAGACTCAGGCCAATCACTCAACCTTTCCATGCCTCATTATACCAATTTATTGAATGGGTATAATAATACATAGTTATTTCAGAGAGTAAGGATTAATTAAAGTTTGTAAAAGACTTTGAGTTCTGAAATTAGTGATTGGTCTGAATTCTTTTCCCTTTTTTTTCCCCCCAGTTCACCTGTTGCTTCCCTTGGGACTGAAGGTAGTGACTCCCGAAATTCTCTTTCTGGACCCAGAAGGAATCCAAGGCAGTTGATGGCGCCCCATCCCATACTGAAAGGCAGGGCTATCTTGGTGGGACCTGGGTTATGGTTATCTTTCCTCCTGGAGTAGGATATGTTGGGACTGAATCCTGGCAACTGTTGGGTTTTGAGACTTAGCGAACCTGGTCAAAGTCTAAGATGGGTAGATACGTGACAAGTAGATACAGCAGAGAACACCATGACTTTTTCCCTACCCCTCCTGCCAAACTTTCTGGTCCTCCTGGCCAGTACAAAAACAAAACATTGCTGAAAGGTTTAATCATTTTTTTGTAACTTGAGATTTGGATTGTGTTTTTAAAATGGGACAGTTCACAAAAAAAATTCTGAGTAGCTTCTAAGAATAAACACTCAAGGTCACCTGTCATTGTACTTTTCAACATTAAAATACAGATCAGTTTACAGTAATCTACATCAAGTTATTACATCATTTTATAATGAACTATGCCTTGATGACAGGCTTCTAGAATGAAATCTATAAACCAGACCTTTTAATAACATTTTTGATGTGCATAGGAATCATTATTTAAACCAAACCATACTATGAAAAGAGAAGCATTCCTTAGAACTCACCTAGTGAAACTGCTAGTTGTTTTTACTCTGTCCTTAGTCATGCATTGAACATTTGTTTGTGTGAAGTGGTAGGCACTTTGACAATTTTATTGTGGGTTGTAAATCTGACTTTTTACCTGTGGTAGGATTGCTGCCCTAACAGGAAGTGATGTCACCAGAAGTACACTGTACCTGAAGTCCCTTCCTGTTAATGAAAAAAATCAGCCATCTGTGCATTGACTCTCTGCCAAGTTAGCAGTTTATGATCTCTTTGTCTGTCATTAAGGATGATCAGGAAGTGCCCAGTTTTGCGTGATTATTTTTAAGAAATTATTATATGATCAAAGAGTTAGCATGTTTTGGAACACCTGGCTATTTTCAGGTAATCTTTAATGACTAGCTCTAGAAAAGATGAAAAAAGGGCATATTACCACAGGCTCTGCCTACTGGGGCTCTCACTTTAATCCTCTAATCTTATTTCTGCCTCCTTAAAGACAGTCTTATTCCTGCCATCTGTGTGCCACACTATTCTTTTTCCAGCAAAGCCAACACTTTATAAGAAATAGCCTGCTGGGTTTTTTGTTTAATTCTTGAAACTGGGACTTCAATTTTCTTCTCTGTAACACAGCACAAGGAACCTAAAGTAACCATTGGCTGAGTTAGGTGAGCAGAACTTGATACTCCTCCCACCCATGCCCCTCTGCATGACACCTCAGCTGGTGACAGAGTCATATTATCAGGCCATCTTGCACATTTGCTTCTTTTGGAGCGATATTTAATATACTGTCAAGAACAGGAGTCTGACACTTAAATTCGTTCAGATGCCAGTTCTTCAGATGCCTAGTACAATTCCATTTCCTGCCCATCTGGATATCCCGGCCCTAAAACTAGTTTAAAATGTGGTCATCATGACCCCAAACCTCAGTTTGTTTGTTGTTGTTGTCACATATACAGACATACATAGTAACCTAGGAGAAAGTAGCAAATTCAGTGGTATTTGAGGAGTGATTCTGTTCTCAAAATATTTGTTAGATGTAATTAAAGATTTTGACATTCATTAAAGGAATTGCCAAATTAAAATTCTGGTTTCTGGATTTCATGTACTAAAAGTTTCTTCAAGACACATTATCTTATTTCAACTAGTGAACAATTATTCTAATAGAAATGTGAACAAAAACATAATCTGAAAATTGTTTATCATGGCCAAGGATGGGATTGTCAGTCCTTAACCTGTAGGATGTGTGTATATGTGTGTATATACCTATACATGCTGTATAATTACAATTTCTGTAATTGTATTTTTATATAAATTTTATGCACATATATATACACATATATATGTGTGTGTGTGTATATATATATATATATATATATATATATATATATATATTTGGCATTGTGAAATATAGAAAAGAAAACTTTAACACTAAATTTTACCATAAAATGGAGATATTTCTTTTCCAGTGTTCCTTATATTTTTTATATTGGAACTCTTACTGTTTTCTAGCCATGGAAGAGAGAGCAGTTCAGCGAGCTGAACGTAGGCGGATCTTGGCAGAGAAGAAGAAAAAACAAGAAGAGGAGAAATTGGTAATAAATCAAGAATGCAAACTGAGGCAAGAAAAAGGATCTGTATAGGCATTCATTAAAAACTGAAACCTAGGTTGTTTAAGGCCACTAAGACAGTAGCATAACACCAACTTTGGATATGGCTTTTTGCCTCCTGGCCTGAACTCTGTGATAGTTTCAGGAAAATGAAGAGAAGGAGCATCAGCATCATTAGTATAGCAACAATTAAATGTTTTGAAAGTTGATAGAGCTAGCAAATTAGGAGATTTACACATAACCAAGACTGATCTGTAACAGGTGAATGTTCAACCTGATAAGTTTACAAAGGTGGGTAATTCTTTTTTTTTTTTTAATTGGAGGCTAATTACAGTATTGTAGTGGTTTTCGCCATGCATCAACATGAATCAGCCATTGGCATACATGTGTTCCCCATCCAGATCACCCCTCCCACCTCCCTCCCCATCCCATCGCCCAGGGTCATCCCAGTGCACCAGCCCTGAGCACTCTGTCTCATGCATTGAACCTGGACCGGCGATTCACTTCACATATGATAATAACATGTTTCAATGCTACCCTCTCAAATCATCCCACCCTTGCCTTCTCCCACAGAGTCCAAAAGACTTTTCTTTACATCTGTGTCTCTTTTGCTGTCTCGGATATAGGGTCATCATTAGCATCTTTCTAAATTCCATATATATGTGTTAGTATACTGTATTGGTGTCTTTCTTTCTGACTTACTTTACTCTGTATAATACGCTGCAGTTTCATCCACCTCATTAGAACAGATTCAAATGCATTCTTTTTAATGGCTGAGTAATATTCCACTGTCTATATGTACCATAGCTTTCTTATCCATTCGTCTGCTGATGGGCATCTAGGTTGTTTCCATGCCCTGGCTATTGTACACAATGCTGTGGTGAACATTGGGGTACACATGTCTCTCAGTTCTGATTTCCTCAATGTGTATGCCCAGCAGTGGGATTGCTAGGTTGTATGGAAGTTCTATTTCCAGTTTTTTAAGGAATCTCCACATTGTTCTCCATAGTGGCTGTTCTAGTTTGCATTCCCACCAACAGTATAAGAGGGTTCCTTTTTCTCTGCCCCCTCTCCAGCATTTATTGTTTGTAGACTTTTTGATAGCAGCCATTCTGACTGGCCTGAGATGGTACCTCATTGTGGTTTTGATTTGCATTTCTCTGATAATGAGTGATGTTGAGCATCTTTTCATGTGTTTGTTAGCCATCTGTATGTCTTCTTTGGAGAAATGTTTGTTTAGTTCTTTGGCCCATTTTTTGACTGGGTTGTTTATTTTTCTAGAATTGAGCTGCAGGAGCTGCTTGTATATTTTTAGATTAATTCTTTGTCAGTTGCTTTGTTTGCTATTATTTTCTCCCATTCTGAAGGCTGTCTTTTCACCTTGCTTATAGTTTAAAGGTGGGAAATTCTTAACCTTCCAAAGTCTTGATCTGGACTGCCAAAAGGAAATTTTGTAGGGGCTTCCCTGGTGGCTCAGCAGTAAAGAACCCGCCTGCAATGCAGGTGACCCAGGTTCAATCCCTGGGTCGGGAAGATTCCCTGGAGAAGGGAATGGCAATCCACTTCAGTATTATTGCCTGGAGAATTCCATGGACAGAGGAGCCTGGCAGGCTACAGTCCATAGGGTCACAAAGATTCGGACACGACTAAAGCGACTGAGCATGCAAGAAAAAATAAATAGTTCTAATAGTTTTGTTTGTTTTGGTGAAACGGAAGAAAATTTTTTCTTATACTGTGTATAGTTTGGACTTAGTATTTCATAAATGAAATAAGAACTAAAGAGTAACCATTTTATGATGAAAAGTTAATGGTCTCATTCATGTTCAGCCTCATCTTCCCAAGTAGAAGAGAATCCCTTTGGAGAAACAGTTAAGTTATACAACTGACCACTTGTTACTTGGGTTTTCTACTTTTAATACATAGTGCAGGCTTCTTCCAGAGACTGGGTGAGCACTTTGGTAAATAGTGGACTTTCCTCAACATAAACAATCTTATTTCTGTGCAAACTGAGGGTCTGATTTTTACAAATTCTAATCTTGATCAGGCCCAGTTAAAGGCCCAAGAGGAGGAGCGTCAGAAGAAGGAGGCAGAAGAAAAGGAGGCTCAGCTTGAGAAAAAAAGAGAAGAGAAGAGACTGAAGAAAATGGTTAGTAGTTTCTGTTTGGTCAGCCACCTATCCCGTGAAGCCTGCTGTGTGTGATCCTATAGTCCTATGCACCTTCCCTCCCCAGAATTTCTGTCTAGAACACTCTTTTCTCACCTCCACCCTCTTTTCTACCTTACTTAATAACAACCTGCTCATTCCTCAGATCTTAACCTAGTTAGCCTTTCCTGCCTTGCCCCACCCTCCTCTCTAACCAGGGTTAGGTGAGATCCCCTTTATGGATTCTGAGTATATTTCCTTCAAAGTATTGAGTTGGCCAAAAAGTTCTATCCTGCATGCAACTGAAAATGAATTAACCCCTTTCCCAGAAGAGGAAGTAAAGTCCTTGAATGATGTTTATCCTTCTTCTTTCTATCCCCTAACTTAAATGCTATAATATAAAATTAACAGTACTGAAATACCATGACACAAAGTCAGTACATCTTTTGTTACATGATTAGAGAATAAGAGTGGAAATAGAACAAGATACGTATACACACAAACATACTCACAGCAAAATAAGAAAGGAATGCTTATGACAATTCCAATCTTCATTTCTGTAACCAGTCAAGTGGATGTAGTTGGTATTTATAGTTACCTTCTTCCACTAGCCACTACCCCTTTGTCTTCAGTGAGCATCTCTGCTAGATAAGGGGTGACCTGAACCTTCATTCTGGAAGGGTTTGGCCTGTTAGTAGTCCGGCATGGATTGGGTTGTAGTTTTTCACCTTATCACAGGGTATGATAATACTAAGAGATACCCTAAGGGTTCTCCTGTATTCCAGTCATATTCTTCTTCACCTCCATTGAGGAGTAGTACCAATTCCCCCTTAGTGACCAGGGTCAGTCACTCCAGCCAGCACTTCCTTATTTACCTTTTGATTCAGAGGCTTGAGGAACCCACAAGGCCTAGGTGGCATTGTTTTCAGTTCAGTGGAATCATTGTGTATCTCCTTATGGAAGCATTCCCCCATTTGGAACCAAGATCTCTAGGCCAACAGAACATTTATTTGTAAGAAAAGGAAACCAGAAATTTTCCTAGTGAACGGTGCCACTCCCATTTCCACCCCTAGCTTCCTGGAGAAACAGTACCATATATTGGATGCTGATTCAGAGTATAGACAGCCTTCTGGAGATCCTTACCCTAGACCTGCAAGGTACTGCCACCTAACTGGTGTTGCAACTCGGTCTTCCAAAGGTAATAACACCATTCTGGCGAGCAAGCTGCTTCAGGATGGTGGTAAGACCAGTAAATTCCATATGTATGGGTCCATTGCTCCACTGCTTTTGCTGTCAATTGAGTTCCGTGATCAGAAGCAATGCTGTGTGGAAATCACGATAGTGAAGAAGGCATTCAGTAAACCTAGGGATGGTCGGACTGCCATGACAAAACACCACAGAGCAGGTGGCTTACATGAGAAAACTTAATTTTCTCACAGTCTAGGAGGCTGGATGTTCAAGGTCAGGGTACTAGCATGGTTGGTTTCTGATGATAGCTCTCTTCCTGGCAGCAGAAGACCACCTTCTCAGCGTATCGTCCCATGTCCTTTCCTTGGCACATGTACACGGAAGGGTAGAGTGACAGTGTGTAAGTTCTCTGGTGTCTCTTCTTATAAGTATACTAGTCCTACCCTTAGAGCTTATCATAAGTTATTTAAAATTCCCTCTCTGATAGTTCCAACATCTTTGTGATATGTGGGTTTTGTTCTGATGATGGCTTTATCTTTTCAGACTGTGTTAATTTCTTATTTTTTAATGTCTTTATTTTTTGTTGTTGTTGAAACAACATGTACAGGGCAATGGAAACTGAGGTAAATTGGCCTTTAGTGTGGAGATTTGTGTTAATCTAGCTAGGAGTCAGTCTACGTTTGAAGTTTGTTGTTGCTATGAGCACCAGAGACTTCAGTTTTCTCTAGTGACTATTTTTTTGTCCCCTCTTTTGGCTCTAGGTCTTCCCTTTGTGTGGTTTCCTGAGGAAACCTGTCTCTTGGCAGTCCTCCAGTTGTACTCCACTGTCATTATGAGGTTTGCTAGCACACTGATGTGCTGAGGGTGAGTGGGGTATTCGCTAATGTTTTGATGAATCTCACTCTTTGGAGTGCACAGTATTGGCCATTCAGAAGAATTTTGGCTCTTACTCTAGGGTCAGAGATTTTCCCTGCCCTTGTGCTCCCTTCTTTCAGTCTCCACTGTCTCTGTCTGTGATCTTAGAGCACTTCACTCTGTGAGGTTCCTTCTACACTTAAATGAGATAAGGAGGTTACTCTGGTCAGAGTTCCCCTCCCCCAGTGGCAGCAGCCTCAGCCTAATGCCTTCAGGTGGTGCTGCTTGCAGATGAAGGCCAGAAGAAGAGTCTGGGCAGATTTTCCAGAGGTTGCTGTTCCTCTGCCCCAGCTAGACCCATGATGGGGACTTTATCTGAACTCTCCCTTGATCTTCCCTGTGAAAGTCTGGTGGAGTTCCTTGCTGTCCAAGGGACTCTCAAGAGTCTTCTCCAACACCACAGTTCAAAAGCATCAATTCCTCGGCGCTCAGCTTTCTTTATAGTCCAACTCTCACATCCATACATGACCACTGGAAAAACCAGAGCTTTGACTATATGGACCTTTGTTGGCAAAGCAACGTCTCTGCTCTTTAATATGCCGTCTAGGGTGTTCATAACTTTTCTTCCAAGGAGCAAGTGTCTTTTCATGGCTGCAGTCACCATCTGCAGTGATTTTGGAGCCCAGAAAAATAAATTCAGCCACTGTTCCCATTGTTTCCCCATCTATTTGCCATGAAGTGAATGGGACAAGATGCCATGATCTTAGTTTTCTGAATGTTGAGTATTAAGCCAACTTTTTCACTCTCCTCTTTCACTTTCATCAAGAGGGTCTTTAGTTCTTCACTTTCTGCCCTAAGTGTGGTGTTATCTGCATATCTGAGGTTATTGATATTTCTTGTGCTTCCAGCAGTTTGTGCTTCATCCAGCCCATCGTTTCTCATGATGTATTCATCATATCAGTTAACTAAGCAGGATGACAATATACAGCCTTGATGAACTCGTTTCCCAATTTGGAACCAGTCTGTTGTTCCATGTCCAGTTCTGTTGCTTTTTGACCTGCATACAGATTTCTCAGGAGGCAGGTCAGGTGGTCTGGTATTCCTATCTCTTTAAGAATTTTCCAGTTTGTTGTGATCCCCATAGTCAAAGGCTTTGGCATAGTCAATAAAGTAGAAGTAGATGTTTTTCTGGAACTCTCTTGCTTTTTTGATGATCCAGTGGATGTTAGCAATTTGATCTCTGGTTCCTCTCCTTTTCTAAATCCAGCTTGAACATCTGGAAGTTCATGGTTCATGTACTATTGAATCCTGGCTTGGAGAATTTTGAGCATTACGTCACTAGCGTGTGAGATGAGTACAACTGTGTGGTAGTTTGAGCATTCTTTGGCATTGCCTTTCTTTGGGATTGGAATGAAAACTGAACTTTTCCAGTCCTGTGGCCACTCCTGAGTTTTCCAGCATTCCAGGATGTCTGGCTCTAGGTGAGTGATCACATCATTGGGATTATCTGTGTTGTGAAGATCTTTTTTGTATAGTTCTTCTGTGTATTCCTGCCACCTCTTCTTAATATCTTCTGCTTCTGTTAGGTTCATACCATTTCTGTCCTTTATTGTGCCCATCTTTGCATGAAATGTTCCCTTTGTGTTTCTAATTTTCTTGAAGAGATCTCTAGTCTTTTCCATTCTATTGTTTTCCTCTATTTCTTTGCATTGATCACTGAGGGAGGCTTTTTTATCTCTCTTTGCTATTCTCTGGAGCTCTGCATTCAAATGGTATATCTTTCCTTTTCTCCTTTGCTTTTCACTTCTCTTCTTTTCACAGCTATTTGTAAGGCCTCCTCAGACAACCATTGTGCCTTTTTGCATTTCTTTTCCATGGGGATGGTCTTGATCCCTGTCTCTTATACAGTGTCACGAACCTCTATCCATAGTTCTTCAGGCACTCTGTCTAACAGATCCAATCCCTTGAATCTATTTGTCACTTCCACTATATAATCATAAAGGATTTGATTTAGGTCATATCTGAATGGTCTAGTGGTTTTCCCTGCTTTCTTCAATTTAAGTCTGAATTTGGCAATAAGGAGTTCATGATCTGAGCCACGGTCAGCTCCCAGTCTTGTTTTTTTCTGACTGTGTAGAGCTTCTCCATCTTTGGCTGCAAAGAATATAATCTGTCTGATTTCAGTATTGATCATCTGGTGATGTCCATTTGTAGAGTCTCCTCTTGTGTTGTTGGAAGAGGGTGTTTGCTATGACAGTACATTCTCTTGGCATAACTCTGTTAGCTTTTGCCTTGCTTCATTCTGTACTCCAAGGCCAAATTTGCCCATTACTCCAGTTATTTCTTGACTTCCTATTTTTGCATTCTAGTCCTCTAAGATGAAAAGGACATGTGTTTTGGGTGTTACTTCTAGAAGGTCTTGTAGGTCTTCACAGAACTGTTCAACTTCAGCTTCTTCAGCATTACTGGTTGGGGCATAGACTTGGATTACTATGATATGTATGGTTTGCCTTAGAAATGAACAGAGATCATTTTGTCATTTTTGAGATTGCATCCAAGTACTGCTTTTCAGACTCTTTTGTTGACTACTCCATTTCTTCTAAGAGATTCTTGCCCACAGTAGTAGATATAGTGGTAATATGAGTTAAATTCACCCATTCCAGTCCATTTTCGTTTGCAGATTCCTAAAATGTCTATGTTCACGCTTGCCATCTCCCGTTTGACCATTTCCAATTTGCCTTGATTCATGGACCTAACATTTCAGGTTCCTATGCAGTATTGCTCTTTAGAGCATCAGACTTGACTTCCATCATCAGTCACATCCACAACTGGGTGTTGTTTTTGCTTTGGCTCTGTCTTTTCATTCTTTCTGAAGTTATTTCTCCACTGATCTCCAGTAGCATATTGGGCACCTACCGACCTGGGGAGTTCATCTTTCAGTGTCCTATCTTTTTGCCTTT